TAACCAAGTGCCAATGAGCACAGAGCAAGGGACATTTGCACACAGAGAGCGATGGCTGGCGGTGGAACTATAATAAACCGGATAGCTGTTTGGTTCTGTGTGTCCGTAAAGTCACGCCGCTTGCGCCGCACTGCATGACGTTCATGCTCAACCACCACATCAGCGAAGTACAGCGCTATGCCTACCACTCGCCTAGTGGGTCACTATCTTGATACTACCTAGTAATTCAAGCGAAATACCCTATTTAGCAACGAAAGAAGCAATCACAAGAACCACACATGAGTAGTCAAGTCATCCACAAGCTCCCCTCCGAGACCCTTGGTACTATATTCATCCTGTGTGCTCGTCTTTGCGATTATAGCAAGGGTGAGCCATATGGCCCTTATGCCTGCCAGACCTCAATTTCCGTAAGCCATGTGGATATTTTTAACGGGGATTCACATAAAATTCTAACGCGCCAAGCGACCTAGGCAGTGTGTCGTCGATGGAGGTCAGTGGCTATTGGAACACCCCAGGTTCGTTATTAATTATTGAAATAGGCCATCTAAAGCCCGTTGTTAATACTAGCCCTTGTTCCAGCTCTGGTCTCGAGTCATGCTTGACGACCCGGTGCCATGGGATCGTTCAGCTCTCTATCTTTCCAGGTCTGGAACCGTCCCGCTCGATATAGAGATTGACATGAGAGAGGAATTCTGGGACAATACAGAGGACGGGACGACCGAGGAATGTACCGAAAGAGCGCAGGAAGCCCTGAGGTTTATCGTATCCCATGGTGGGGCAACTTCAAGATGGCAGTCGGTATTCATCATAACGGATGCATTCGGGCCTCATCGTGCGGTCATTGACTTTCTGGGATCGTCTCCGATGCCGGAGCTCCAGTATCTTCAGCTTCACTTTGAAGGACCAAGCGACCTTGACGAGGAAGATGAACTTGACCTTTACCAGTCCACACGTATCAAACCGTTGCAGCTTTTTCAACAGCCTCCTTCCAAGCTGCACACGGCCAGGCTAGCAGGCGTGTCGAATCCATTCCTATTCGGCCATTCAAATCAACTACAACTCCCGAGTCTGACTCATCTAAAACTGGCATTTGTCAACACCCCTCCCAGTGTGTCAGACCTTAGCGCTCTGCTTCGGGTGACTACTCGTCTTGAAGTTCTCCACTTTGGGTTGGACGCAGTCGATCCTACTGAGTACAATAAGCTGAACTTGCGTCTACCCAAGATCCGCCTAAATCACCTTCGGGAGCTTGCTTTCTTGGATATCAGGGACGCGCTCTGGCCTTTGAACGTTGTTATGATTCTCGAAGCTCCCAACCTAGAGTATTTGCAGCTCGGGTTGGTTGAATGCGAGGCGGATGGCGACAAGCTGATTGATTACCTTGTCGATGGCGACAATAAATCGGCTCCCCGGGCCGTCTTCCCCTCCCTTATTCGCTTGAAAGCATTGCTTGATGACGGAGACCTCTCTGCGAGACTGAAATTGGAATCTTTGCTACGCGCATACCCACGAATTGTCCATCTGGAGATCCCATTCTTTCCTCTCGACACACTCCTAGTTAAGCCTTGGCTCGTCCCTAATTTACAGCACCTGCAGGTCGCAGACCGCCGTGGCTCAGAAATAAAAAGGGTTGTCGCTGCACGCAGTCGCGCGAAACTACCCCTCAAAGTAGTAGAGTCTGATGTGTTTTCTAAGGAATTGATTAGGCCGGCCGAGAGGAAGTACTTAGCGGGCAAGGTTGACTTGAGGTTCTTCAATATTTATAAGGAAGGTGGGGCTATGAGTGGCGACGAGAGCCAAGACGAGGGTGACGAGTCGCACTAGGCTTGGTAATGGGTGTAGTGGGAGGGGGCAAACAGTTATTCGAGGAATGTCCACTTGGTAGCATATGATATGAAATCTGAGGCGATGTGTAGGTCTCGGAGACAAACGTGTAACACCTCGATGCTATCACCGGCTTTAGTCTACGGTGTTAAATAACCTAGCAATCGTCCTGACAAAATAACAATGGGACGCGCCCGTCTGGATCTCGTGCGGTTCCCGGAGCCTGCATGATTACGTGATGGGTTGCCTGCTTGCGTCTGATTGGTCACCGGAACCAGATTTGTCCATCCCCTTGCTCATCGTCAGTGTCGACGTCAAACGCCTTAAAATCAGTACGTTAGTCTCGCCTGCATCGTTCTGGGAGAAACTTTACAGGATAGGAACGAGCTGGCTGGGTAGAATGGCGTAGAAAGGGTGGATGGATGGGTGCTTTTGTGGATGGATTGAATAGGTCAGGAGGCTGACTACTATTCCTTGCAACCTGGTGCAGAACTCGACACTCTGAGATACTCACCATCATGTCTCTGGTTGTTCCTGAGGCCCACCAGCAGTTCCAGGTATGTTGTACTTTACAACCGGTAGTTATCTCAACGCTGATTAACCGCCACTTGATACTAGCACATTTTGCGTCTGCTCAACACCAACGTCGATGGAAAGCGCAAAATTATGTACGGTGCGTTGTTACCAGCACTATTAGCTACTGCATAACGTTGACATGTTGGTCGATCCAGCGCTGACTGAGATCCGTGGTGTTGGTCGCCGGTACGCCAACGTTGTCTGCAAGAAAGCAGATGTTGACCTGAAGAAGCGGTGCGCTCTCCATTGGCATACATCTGCTGCCTACTTACTAAATGTGCCTACCAGCGCCGGAGACCTCAACTCTGACGAACTTGAGCGAATTGTCACAATCATGCAAAACCCCACCCAGTTCAAGATTCCCACCTGGTTCTTGAACAGGCAAAAGGACATCGTCGACGGGAAGAACTTTCAGATCTTGTCCAACGGCATCGACTCGAAGATGCGTGACGATCTCGAGCGCTTGAAGAAGATCCGAGCGCACCGTGGACTCCGACACTACTGGGGCCTCCGTGTGCGCGGGCAGCACACCAAGACCACTGGTGCGTGCTTGTCTCGTAACCGCTTTGCGCTTAATGAACATTTTTTCGGGTGGCAGGTCGCCGGGGAAAGACAGTCGGTGTGTCCAAGAAGAGGGGTTAAACTGTGTCAAGCTAGGGGTTGCTTGTGGTTTTGCGTTGCGCTGTTCTCATTTGTATGCTCCTCCATGCCCATGCCATACCACAGAATTCACCTGTGTGTGCGCCGGATTTAGCGAAGCTAAGCCTAGGTATTCTTGCTAAGGACTATGCATTCCATACAGTTACACTTAGAACTGCGGGAATCAATCCATGGTCAGTCCCCCGTCAATGGACAAGTTCTGTCCTAATCGAATTTAATCCCGATCGATTCTCAGATAAAGCGGCAAATGATTTACCTGTTATATTTTTGGCTGCTGGGCTCACCAAAAACGATACAAGGCCAGCAATATCCTCTGGGGACGTGATGCGGCCGGTAGCCATCTTGCTGAAAACCTGTAGTGCCATTCTGTAAATCGCGGCTGTCGTATCATCGCCTAGGTACTTCCCTGTGCGCGGTCTGGAGCCACACTCATGACAACTTTGTTCCCTGACAGGTAAATAAGTAAAGGTGCCGAACTCTCGGGCAAGGCAACGCACACATATCTGTGTCGACAGGCCCAGGTGCATACGCATTTACGGTGATACCGTGTTGGCCCCATTCTCGAGCTGCCGTTTGGGTCAAGCTACGCACAGCGAATTTGCTCGCAGAGTACGCCCCCTCGAGCGGGAACCCCGATTTACCTGCGGCGCTGCATGCGCCAACAATACGACCTCCGCCCCGCTGGATCATTGCTCGCGCTGCTGCCCGGTAGCTATAGAGTACGCCTTTGACATTCACCGCATACACGTTGTCCAACATCTCGTCGGTTGCTGCTTGGTATGTCAGGATTGAATAGAATTCGCAGAAGGGGTGCTCACTTTCAAGCAGTGGTGCCCCTCTATATATGCCTGCGTTTGCTACCATCTGCAAACAACACAACTATTTGCGCACTCGATGAGGGCAGAAAATCGTAGGCATACCACATCGATACCACCCAACTCCCTGACCGCCGTTTGGACTAAAAATTCCACTTGGGGCTCGCTGGATACGTCGCACACTACGGGAAGGACCTTGGGCACGATTCCATGGCTTGACATAACGCTCCGTTGACCCTCGATGCATTCGTCAACAACCAATTGCAACTGATTTTGATTCGAAAGAACGTCTCCAAGAGCAAGTAGGTACCCTTCTGATGCAAGCTCTGGGGCGGCAAAGGCATGGTAAATTCCACATCCCAATGAAAGCCGTAAGACGTACTAATTGCAATGGCTCGTCCGATGCCCAGAAGTCACGACTGACGTAAAATTATGACTGGATCCTTGCCCGGCTGCATACCTTGAGCAGCACCCGTAATCACAGCCACCGGCGTGTGTGTCAACAAGACTGTTTCAGCTACAGACATCGCTGCAGGCGGCGGTTGAAAATGTCAGATCGGGGGTATGGTTGGCTGGATTAAGACCTGCTGGTTCGAAAATTCTGTTTTCTTCGGGCGAGCGGCTTTGCACGATAATCTAAGACCTTATCGAGTAAACATAACTCTCTTCCAAAAAAGGGCACTTGATTCCATCGATCGAATGTATGCGCTCGACAAACCAGTCTCATCTCTTGCTGTCGTTGATGGCGTCAGTGTAAGCAGCCTATCCATCGACACCTACTCCTTCTGTGAGTAGACTCAACCCACGGGCAAAATGGGAGCGCAATCGATTAGTTCCTAAGTAGCCCCCCGTTTGTTGATATCGATTGACCTTCATCCGTGGCTCTCCTCAGCAAGATTTCTGCGTGAGCCCCAACTCCCAACTCACCAGTAATGTTTTTAGCTGCGGGGCTTACCAGGAATAACACAAGACCTGCGACCTCTTCCGGCGTAGTAATCCGCCCCGTAGGTGCATCAGAGACAACCTGTGGGAGTTGTTAATTCCAGCGGCCTGTTTATCTCTGCAATTTGAATGACTTTCCCTATGATAAGGGTTTCCCTTAGCAAAATCCTACAGGAAAAAGAATGACCACTACCCGAGTTGAACGGATGGCCTTGTGGAGGCGCTTAAAATCAGCTGGAATCACACGCTCTACCACTGAGCTAAGCGGTCTTGCTAGGATTTTCTGCATAAACCGATACGACATGCCTGCATAGCATATACCGGCCTGGGTGTTGGGTTTCACAACTTGGTCCCTATGTGAATATCGTAGCCCAACCCCAAGTGTATACACTTTATTGTATGAGCTAGCCGGGAGGATGAAGAGGGCATGCCAGGGGGATAACTGTAAATTTTCAGCTTTTGGTTGAGTGGCATTTAGGCTCTGTCCAAGTAGTATATGTTGCAACCCTGGGGATAGCGGAGTGTGCTGAAGCTCGAATTATCTTGGTTGACGCAGTAGTTGTGGAGATATGGGTTCTCCAAACTGTGAAATTTTGGCATGTTTATCCAAAAACAGCGACCACGGCTTTACTTGAGGACCAACAAGCTGAAACTGGGCTGGCAGCTGGGGTCACACACTCTGTCACTGAGCTGGGCGGTCTTGGCAAGATATACTGGGATATGTATGTGTTGGCTTGCGAAACTAATGAACTTGGGCAGAACTGATCGTGGTGGGGTGGCGACCATCACCAATTTGATGGTTGACTCATGAGTGCCAGTTTTCTCATGACTGCGTTCTAACCTATTCAAGCATGTGATATAGTGCTCTTGAGCACTCATGAGATTGTTGTGCAATGCTTGTGAGCACAGGTGGGTGGGCCATATAATTATTGAGCAGCATATCCGAGCTTGGGAGGCTTTGTGTCACGACCCTCTGTTCTTTTGGTCACTTCTTATTTGCACGCTTATGTGATACTACTGGGTACTTCCCAGAGGAGCTGTTGTGATGGGTATTTCCCTTATTTGGTGGACAACATAAGCGAAAGCTCACATCAGGAAAACACCTCGCGGTCCAGGAGGCCTCAACAAACCTGTTGAGGCCGCTGGACTCATCGAAATGAATCCCCCGGCGCATGGGCCCAACGAGCACTCGACCGTGCTCGACCAGCACGGGCCTTCTCGGTCGTGCAGCCTCGAAATTGGCTGTGCTCGATCGCTCACTCTGAGCCCGGGGCTTCCTATCCCGGCGTGATTGCACCCCGACCGGTCGTTCTTTCGGCCTCTGGATCGACGCTGTGTCGGCGCGTCTCTGGCACCGGGCTCCGCGTCCTTCGTCCCACTGGTTCCAGGTACATCTGTGGCCGAGGCGCAACTTTGCCATGTGCTGTGATGGTGCCGTGGCGCTGACAGTGTTGATCCTGTCAAGCCGCGATTGGCGGCTTTCATTTCGTTCATTTCGCAGCTCTCGTGCACGCTGGATTGTACATAAAACCATGTAACCAAAACTAATACATTCAACTCGTGTACACAGTCAAATCTTCCGTACATATGTGCTAGCCAGCCTAGGAAGGAGTGGCAGCGTGCGAGCCTGCGCACAAGAAAGAAAGAAAGAAAAAGAAAATGATGGAGAATGTAGATGAGATAGAAGGCGGCGGGTATATGGATGGGGTGAGCACGGAAACTTCATTCTCAGGATTTACCACACGGGGAACGAGTTGTTGTCGTCATCCTGCTCGTCCGATGGCCAATGATCCATGTAGTACTCTCTGTTGTACACGCCAGATATAAGCATTCAATGGTAATGGAAAAGGGCGGGCAAACTCACTTGAGCCGATCGAGCAAGTCGACACGAAGCTGGCCCAGGTGTGGGAGCTTGATCAGCGCATGGAAATAACTGTCCCATCTCCCACGAAAGTGCCCCTCATCGAAGTGAATATTTGTCCCAAGGTACATCTTCTCAAGTGCCCAGTACATCTGGACGAAGAGCAGAGTGAGCCTGCCATAAATCAAACGCAAAAATCGACATACCTGAGTGGCAGCAAATGCAATGGCGCCGGGTGATACTCCCTTGTGTGCCGTCTGATCACGTAGCTTCCGGTGCCAATGCGCACATTTCTCGGCGTCATCGAGCTGGCAGAGCTCTTCCATGAATGCTAGCCCAAGTGTCTTCGCTGATTTGAAGAATATAATTTCGAGTGCAACGCCCAGTGCACCTACATGAAAATGCTGGCTTGGGTCCTACATAATCATGCAGCCGGCAAGTGTTAGTCATATCCTGAATTGGGTGAATCAAGAAAATTAGCTTACATGGTCGGCTGTAGGGTAAAGGAACAGGTCCTTGTTCATCAGCTGATACAACTCTGTCTTGTTGGCCATTGTGACAGAGAATTCCTGTTCCATCATAACCTCGATTCTCGAGAGCGAATTTCCACGATTACCCGACGTCCTGTAGAAGATCTAGAATATATGCGTAAGAAGTGAGCATTGTTTAAGCTCAAGGTTGGTGCTTGGACTCACCGTATGCAAGAACCTGTGAGTGTAAACGTCGGCACTGGATATTCCGGTCATATTGGTTGCGTATTGCTGAGCGGCCTGCAAGTATGCGTCTCGGTCCTCCGGCCAGGGGTTGTCGCATACAACGTCCTTGAGGAGGGAAAATTCCATCAGTGATGCGACTGATTGCTGGTCAGGGGTAAGTGCGCCCGAGCACAGCACTGAGCAGTTGCAACGCGATGTTTCAGGGGCTACCTCGGAGTACCGTCCACGATGCCTACGTCGGCTAAGATTGAAGAGCTTTCGGGAATTTGTCCTCAGCTCTAGGACTGTCGGGATATGGCGTGGGCTATTGTGAAGGGGGACCAGCCGGCGGACGTTGAGAAACCGGGATGCTCGACATCGAGCTTGTGTGATTTGTACAGGTGAGTACTCGTTGAGGCCAATGTCCGTGTCCTCGAGTGCGACGGGGGTTGGCGGTTGTGGTGCATCGGGGTCCAAGCACTGTTCCTCGCCCTCTGAGATAACATCGTCGGTGTTGTACCCACTGTTGTCCAAAAAATCAGGCGAATTGAGTGAGCGGCGTAGGGCGGTAATCCCAGAGGGGTGGGAGTTGTCATGGTCAAGCGGGGAGCGAGTGCGAGGGTTGTTGGCATTGGTGGGATAAGTAAATGGAGGGGGAATGGGCAGGCATGGAGACCAAGCTTCAGCATGGGCATGGGAGACAAGCTCCCTTGTACTGAGGTGTGGGCGGGGACGAGTAGAGGTAGGGGCATGCAACGAGAATGGTGAGCCAATTGGAGCACTGGCGTGGGAGGCCAGCATGTACCAGGTAGCATTGTGCGCAGGGGGCGGTGGTACTGACTGGGACCACCGTGGAGGAGTCACAGGCCGAGGTGGGATAGGTGCTTGGGGCTCGGGGACCACGATCCATGGTGCAGGAGTCGCAACTCGACTTGGTGGTGGTGGGTTATTGACAAGAGGAAGGGGTGCAGGATGACTCGGGAGCGGCCCTGTAGAGTGATCGACAGGCACAAGGTTGGATGTACCTGCCTGCAAGTTGTCGACAGTGGCGAAGGGTTCCAATTCATTGGAGCCCTGAGCAGTGTACTGTGACTCGTTGGTGATGTTGCCGAAGAGGTACTGGGCATGTGTGACCAAGTGATCGGGTATGGGGTGAGGAAAGTTGTTGTTGTTGGTAATAGTGGGACTGTTGCCAAAGTGAAGGTTGTCGAGCCCACCGAAGAGCGCTTGGATGTCGTCGTCACTTGCATTGATGAATGGGTTGGTGGGCTGGGTGACTAAATTGTTAAGTCACATTGGTCAGCACGATAGGCTATTGTCAGCAAATATATGCAGTACGTATGCGGAGCAGCTTCAGTGCTGGTAGTAGAACCAAAAGTGCCTACATGGGCTGCAGCCGGTGCAGAGAATTGGTAATTGGCCATAGGAAAGTCTAATAGCACGCATGTACATTATCAGCACACCAAGCATTTCACGCCAGGCAGGAAGCCTAACTTACCTTGCATATATACATCTTCATCCTCGTCCTCATCTTCACCCTCAGCATCGTAGTCGACCAAGTCGCCATTGGGTTCAATCAGGGTTTTCCCAGCTTCAGCGGCAACGTCGAAGGTGGTATCAAGTTGGCCAAGATGGGACAAGTTGGTCAACTCAAGCACCGTTGCATCGCTGTTGTCGGATTCGGCATCGGAGTGTGGAATATCTAAGGTAAAATGAGTCAGATAGTTGTATTTTACATGTGAATAAAACCTGCCTTCTTCGCCTGGGAGGTATGGGACTGGAGGGGCTGGACCTGGCGTTACTCGATGAACAACCCGCTTGATGTGATAGCCATCAGGTTGGGCAATATACCCGACATCTGCAGCTGCACGCCGTGCATGTGTAGCAGCCAGGGTGGGTGGAGGCACAGGCGCCTTAGCCCTCTTTCGGGTTCCCTTGGCTAGGCTTTTACCAGCGATTGAAGGGGGGAGCCTGAGTTTCATGGCCTTAGCACGTCGCTTGGCTAACATGTTACGAGCCTTCGCCGTAGGGTCACTAGCGTGACGCGGAGGTTTCTTTAGACGTGATGGGGTAGGACGGAAGTCCTCATAGACTTGGGACAATAGACGGACACGACGTAGAAGGCTTATAGTTAAGCCACGAAAGGTTACTTGACGTCGTGACGATGTGCCACGAGATACGAAAGATGGTCAAGTGGCTAAGTACCTTTAAGCCATGAGACCCTTGGGAGAACGACTTAAGTAAGAGGGTTGCTAACCCCTTAGTGCGAAGGTGAAGTGGGACAAGGCGAGAACAAGCTGGAGTTGCCAGGCTTGTTCTCTGCTCTCTATATACTATGTAGGTACAGACGAGTCATCTATGTACGACAGTCAACCGCCATTCCAAGGCGAGTCAACCAGACGAATCATAAGTACAGGAGTGAGTCGATCACCATTCCCAGACGAGTCAACTCAGAGGCAGTGCCAAGCCACAAGACGAAAGGGGGCCGGAGGCGCCCAAGCGAAAGGAAAAGTTGGGGGCTGTGCGACAGCTCACAACATAACACCCTCTCCCGTGGAGGGAGAGAAATAGTTGAGGATTCGGCACGAAGAGGAGTTGGCATGGGGCGAGGAGGGAATCTGGGAGTACAAATGTGAATAAATAAATGTAAAAACTAAAGACGAGGAAAACTGGATACGCACTGATATAGATGGTGGGGGAATCTGACTTGACCA